AAGGAATTTAGGAAATAGGAAATTTCCAATTTGATAAAACGTAGAAAATAAAAGTTGCCATGACAATAATCATTCCAAACGTGTTACTTCACATTACATATTCGCGTTATACGAGAAAAATTATCGTACAACGCGATCTTGTAAATAAATATTCGTCAAATCTCCATGCAAAGTAAAATCCACTTCTGTATCGTTTATGTGAAATAAATTGAAGCATAGACGAATCTCGTGTGTCGCACGTGTCTATCAAAATTGATCGTCGACGATATCACTGCGATTTTAATACTTTCTACGATACTTTCCTATCTGTTGAAGCTGTCGAACGACCAACACTGTGATAAAAGACACGTAAATATTCGCGTATCAACCGATATCGGCTCCCTTTTCGCCAGTGTATCGTTTCTACGTGTACGGAACACGAGATGTAGACGTTTTATTGGACGTTATCCTCGGTCGTTTGTAATCATTTCGTGGGATCGAGCGTGGCGCCGTGTGGACTTGAGAGATGGAACGCCATGCGCGGGATTCGGGAGAAAGGAACTCGGGAATCGAGTGCATATATGCAGGATCAACCCGGTGCACTCTATTCAAATTTTCGCGGTCGGAACGAATCGTGGAGATATTTTCTTTGCGTATTCTTTGTTTCTATACCGTTTCAAAGTTCTTTCTTTCTTCGTGTTGAAACGCGAATGTTCGCAAACAAGCGGTTCTAACTTGGATGAAATGCATCTTGGAGTTGGACGTTTCTTTTTCTTTGTATTTTATGATTTTTGTTATCTTTGAAAAATATGTTCGAGTTCAAAAACACCCCAGAATCATCGAATAAATATATTCAAAAATGTAGAACACATAAAGCATCAAATTGATGAAACAATATGCTTGTAGAATATTTGCATTTAATTAAGCGTTTCTTCCTTGCCCTACCCTTCTTTTGTTTCTTTCACTGACATTTCACGCAAACGCGATATTCATGAGAATTCGATGGGAGAATTACGGTTAACGATATTTGTTCCCAGCAGAAAAACCTGTAACCCTTCGTTACCCAATTATTCCGCCGCTGCTAATGAACTTTTTTGCATAAGGGCGCGAGAAGTGAATTGGTCGGCTCTATTCGTAAACGTTTGTCGAAACAATAATTATGCACTCGTTAACGAAAGCGACGCGAAAAAAAAAACTGTTCGTAACTCGATGCATTGTTTAACCCGTTCAGTTTGTTTTCCAATTATGGATCATTAACTTCAGTTGCTTAATTTGTAATTAAAAAATGCTCGCTCTATTGATTCTTGACTTATTGGCGCGTTTAAAAATTAATTTTTGTTTAACTCCGGAGCGACCAAAAATTCCTATATCGACGAACGAAGGTGTCGATGAGAATACAGGTCGTTATTGATCGCTAATTAAGGTGTCAGACTAATTAATCACATGGTAAAATTTGGTCGCTCCCGTTGAAATCGTGGATGGAAATAATCGCGGGCGAAGTGATTAAAACGCGGCTCGTTAATACGAAATCCGGCGAAATGTTTCCCAGTCAGCTATTTACTTCGCGCCGATTGTTTGTCCGTCGCCGTCAGGCCGGCAAAACGGCAACGATCGAAAGCGGGGATATTAAAAAGGGAAAAATAAAGAAGCGAGGGGTAGACGCTTACACAGAGCTTGCATCGGTGATGACGGTGGCGGGGTTGAAAAGAAACGAACGGGGTAGAGGGTGAACGTAATAACTCGTGCGACGAAACGCTCGATATTCAAATTTGTTCGATACGCTTCGAATGCGCGAGCAATCGGCACTCGGTGCACGGTATGAAAGGTGTGTGTGCCCGTGCGAAACAGTCATAATCCACTTTTGTTTGCGGATTTATCGGTCCTCCTGCGCGTTATAGGAGGACGACGATCTCCGACAATGGGAACAAGCAAAGAGGATAAGCTATGACGATTTTTGCAGCTTTCACTGCCAGGAATAACTGATGTCGATCGCTTTATTCTCTTTATTTTAGGATATTCGATGTCCGATGGTGATTGCTTGCCGATTCTTGTTGGAAATTGTAGCTTCGATGAACAGGCGATCGTTAGCGAACAGACTTCGTGAAATTTCATTCGTTAGATCTATTTTTGTTTCCAAGTATTTCAAATAAAATTTAGGTATCTCGACGGAGAACAAGGCTGTTGCATTGTGAATAGAGCTTTAATATCAAGAATAGTGAGTAAGCTTTTGATGTCAAATGGGGGATAATGTTTGGATACTGTCTACATTTATAGCTGTGTTTCGAATCAAAAATAGCAAACGTAAAAGCGAACTCCGTATCGTCGTTCGTTATTCGCAATATTCGTAGCTTTAAATCATGCAAATAAACCTTTTCGATATCCCGTGACCACCTAATAGGCTGGTCCTCGTTCTTGTATACTTTCTTGGCCGATGTCTGGCCGAGGAATTTCGCATTTTTCTGGTTTCTCGCCGAGAGGCCGGTTAGCGGAGAATCTTCTTTAACGCGTCTGGTATTCCGCGGCTGGGATATTGTTATGTAGAGAAAGCCCTCATTTTTCACGGAAGCCCCAACTCTCGAGGATAATATTTATCTCTAGCAGATTTGTGGTTAAGAACATTACGCTCGAAGATTACCTTCGTGCGGAGATCGTGGAGTAAGTGGAATCGTGGCGAAAGCGAACGAACCGGGATCAGAAATTGTTTGTTCTGAAATTAGAAATCTTCTTTTTATTTCGAACCGTGGAGCTATGGACTTTTCGAGTACGAAATAAGTTTTGATAGTCTTTTACGTGGGAAAAGTGATGCATTATCGTCTGCAGCGTCGGATTATGGGGGGAAGGTTTAAGGGAGTCTGTAGCCCCGGGTCCCATTGTAACCCTCCCATTTACTAAAAAAACATTGAATGAAATCTTTTGTTACTACTACGATTAAATGCTATTTAATTTTATTTAGAATAAATTTCAATTTTCCCATGGAGGGCTTTCTAAGGGTTGATAGCCCTGAGCCCTAAAAATTTTAATTCACCCCTGCTAGCGTGTAAATGAAATTTTAGTTTTTATAGAATATTTTTATAGAATAAGAGTAACAATAGCCTCGGTTTGGTAATCAAAGTAAACAAATGAAGTATTCGTTACGCGAGCATGGTGCATAATGGATGGATCGTGAGAGGTTAATAGGGTACATGATACGATTTTATTGAACTTCGAGTCCGAGCACATTGATCGAGTGTAGCGATTAATTTTCTAATTTGTCGCCATTTCTCTCCCGGGTCTAGTTTATCAATGTAGAAGTGTAGCCGGTCTCTTGCTCTGCGGTGACAAAGTTTGTGGTTTATCGTGAGCTCATGATCATGTTCAGCTGGAAGTTACAGGTGAAATGGATCGATTTCGAATGAAACATGACTCCTTGTTAAATTGTAACTTGTTATAGATATTTCTGGGAAAAAGATATTATTTATATACCTATTATGAAACTTAATATATTATAATCCATGCTCTTTCAATATGATTTTGGAAAATTAATTTTATTGGATATGGGTTTATAATATGTATATAATAAAGTTTTATTTGATACTTTTTAACATAGGGAAGGCACGTCTTTCACATGCTAAAGATGCAACTTGACTAACTCTTTGAGAAAGAACGATGGATCCCATAAACAAAATTTAAAACTGAAGGTAGGATTACTGACAATGAGAAGAGTATTGGTTAGGCATTCTAAGAATAATAATAGATTATTTTTCCCTCTATACTCCGATAAATCCAACAAATTTGAAATGGAAAACTCTTCAACTCGCTTTAACACTAAAACTACCGGTGTTCAATAAGCACTAAATTTGTAACTGAAAATAAAATAGAAAAGACTGAAACTTAAACCAGTATGTACAATAATTCTTTATCCCCACAAAAATTAAGAAAAGTTAAGAAAAAGTTACAGAAACCTGTCGTTAATTTTGACCTCTCTGGTAGTTATAGTGTTAATATCATTAAAAGTACACAACATTTTAAGTTTTTAAATTTTTTTCTTATTTTAGACAAATAAGGGTTAAAGAAAGTATCGTTGGACCGCCCACTCAAGTCCCTTATCGTTTGCTTAATTTTACCACATTCCAGTCACTTTACAGTGATCACCGGTACCGCGGGAATTATACACAGATTAACTGTCGTTAAATCATATTACGAGGGATAATTAGAGTGAACCGCAACGCGATCTGAATCCATGCCGAGCGGTTACCGCGAAAATAACTGCCCGAATCCGCAGAGTCCATTCAGCCCTGGATTATTATGTTGCTGTCAGCTATGAATATGTTGGAAACCGAAATCTCGACCGCACAATTATGCCGATGTCATTCATTTATTTCCCTCGGTTAGTGCATCGACCGCCGTCCACTAAAACGCGTTCGTGCCGATGCGATATTTTCAAGCATGATTATTTTTTTAATTAGCAATTCGGAACATTCGTGACATTTGCAATTCTGCATATTTTTGGCTCGAAATTCTTTTAAAATGAAGATAATGCGGATTAGATAAAATTAAAAATAATACAAAATTAAAAAAGAAAATTGGGGAAAGAATTTTCCTTATCAGCGACCGGAAGTTTCTGAAACACTTTCACTGATGGAGACAAACTCCACGTTAGGTCTTTGTCGAAAGATCGATCCTCGAAGGTGGCGCTCGTTGTCGATATACATCACGTATCGTTCGTTTCAACTTTCGCTTTCCGATCCTGTCCGTGGAATTCGTATCGCAGGAGCTTCCAGGACGCGTGCTTCCTCGCGGAGATCTTACCGACTGTCGGTGGTGATCAGCTTTTCCGCGAGAGTCCTCGCAAAACTCGTATCTCCGTTCGTTGGAAACAGGTTCTTTCACTGTGACCTGGAATCTTTCAGAGATGGCACATCCTCACTGTAAACTCCAATGTTCCAAATAAATCATTGAATAAAATGTGTAAATGTTATCTAAGCCTTCAAAGAGTATCTCTATTTGAACATTTATTTCCAATTAAATTTTTGCTATTTATTTTAAACGAAAAGTACAAACTTAATATACATAGTGTTTTGTATTTATTAGGTGTGCAAATTAATTCAGTGTCTTTAGTATTACGTCTTCTTAATCGCTAATTTAAATTTGAATACTTTCCCGCGCTGCTGTGGAATTGAAAAGTGGCACGAGAATTCAAACACGATAACGATTATTCCAATAATTAAAGTTACTATGACTATTAAGAAATAAATCTTCAATTTAAAGAAAAGGAAAAGTACCAAATTAATTTGCATATCTAATATATTTAAGTAGGTCTGAAATTATAATTGGAATTTAAAAAAATATTTTGATTGAAAGTTTATAGAGTTTACAGTTGATGATATAGTTTCCTTGCTAAAAAATGATTGTATGAGACTAAAGATAGAAAAAGTGAATGGAAAATATCTGTTCCGAACTCGTTGGTTCCCATAGGTCTTAAATGTTGCACAACACGTTCATAGGAAATTCCCCATTCCCATTTCCTTTGCAAGAAGCCTAAGCAGATCGAAAAACAGATTCGACTTAGGATTTATGCTTACGATACTTTGAATCTTGCGAGAATTTCGATCTTTGGACAGCAGAGGAGGATTTGTGTGTGTTTGCATCGGTTATTCGACGATGCTTCGTTCCACCGGGACACACAGGATATTCCAAGGATGGCAATCGGCCACCGTGACTGTGGAAGTCCATAGTGACCCCATGGCACGCGAGCTTCCCTCTTTGACTGGAATATTAATATCCTCCGGCTGCAAGCGGTCTAAGGGGATACATAAAACGAGAGCAGAGGGACAACTCGGGAAAACTAACCCACACATGTTGTTGCGGCTCGTTTGAAATTCGCTTCAACCTTTTATCAGCTAACTTGTAATTGAACGACAATTAGTTTCGGATTAGAAGGTGAAAGGAACTCTGAAATTTGACACAAATTTTCCCAGTTGTTGATAAAATTTTAAATAATATGGATCTTTGGAATGGTAGAGAAAAATTAATTTGGATTTATTAAAATTTTAATTGAATATCAAAGCTTAATTACCTTGAATTTTAAAAGAAGCTCGCATAAACAGGTCAGCCCTTCCTCTCGCAAAGGTGTTAAAAACAAGCTGCTATTTTTATGAACAACAACACACAAAATCAATAATTGATGCGGGATAAAAATATCCATTCGTGATTGTATAATGCGTTACTTTGTCGAATCTAGTTTGATTTCTCACCGATTGATAAATGTAGATTGTCCGGATTACCGTTCCAAACGATTTCCACGGTGGTCGTGAAAGTTTTCTCGATCGAGGTGTTTCGAGGTCTCTGTTACTCCGGCTTTCCGTCGACTCGGGGTCGATAGAATCGCGCGGGAACGTGTTTAAATTTGCATTTCATTTCGTTGTCGAAGCTGAGTTAAGAACCTCGGGAAACGGCTTCCTGCGATTATACCTTGTCTCGCGATTAATTCGCGAAATTAACATTCTCCTTTATCCTTCGCGCTGTATTTATGATAATTATTCAATCCCTTTGTAGAATTCGAAATAAAATTAGGTACGCAAAGGGACAGAAATTTAATTTTCGTTTAAATATTTATAGAGCTAACTTTGATAGAAATGCTATTGTCTAGGTCACGTTTGATCTATGCCCCGCTGTTAGAGGCTAGAAGGATCAATGAGGTGACGTGATTTTAATTAATTGCTTAAAACGGGATGTATTACGATAGCTCGTTACGGTAGGCAATTGATCTGTCGCGTTTACATTAAAAGTAAACCCGGTGCTCGCGATATCGGCTTGTGTGTGTACCTAAATCACTCGAAATAGGTGTTAATTACGTAAGCGGATAAATTTAATCCGGGATTGCAATCTGATCACCGGTGGCAGAGGGTTCTCATCCACCGTGGATATTACGGATTAAATATTGTATTAATCATTTCTCTCCTATGGTACCTTTTCCATCGTAACGTGCTTTCAATCTCCTTCAATAGAGAACCGATATTTAGAATATAATAATGTTAATGCTTTAACGTTCACATATTTTATGGAATCAATGGCTCTCATAATTAAGCTAATTAATTATCAGTTTCTAAATTAAATATTAAAAGTTTCATTGTGATTCGTGGTTCATAATTAAATAACAATGAATGCCACGAGAATCTGAATTGATATTATAAGACAATGGGTTAACGTGATGAAAACTTTCCAAATTAAATATTAAAAGTTTCATTGTGATTCGTGATTCATAATTAAATAGCAATGAATGCTACAAGAATTTGAATTGATATTATACGATAATGAGTTAATGAGATGAAAAATTGAATGTTTCTGGTGAAAATTGCTCTCGTCTTGCACGGGACACGTTGTAAATTATAGAAAGAGAGACGCTATTAAGAGAAGCTAATCATGGGCTATCAGGTTTGGAACTGCAACGGACAAATCTAATGGCCGACACAGAAGCAGGGCAACTGGTCCAGACCAAGTGGCGGATTTGCTCCAGTACTTCGGAGCTCGATAACCCGTGATTAAGTGGCTATTCGTAATCATACTTTATGAGCTATCGCCTCGGACCGATTCCATTTTACACGCGAGTTAACGAACACCGCCGATCCAACCAATTTCATCTCCAACACGCGAAACTCGATACGTCCTCTATTTCTACGAAATTTTCACCTTACTAAAGATTTATCTCCGCGAAATTCACAAAATTTCTACCTTCAAAAATGTTCAAATTCCACCACTAACGTTAGAAGGGTCAGAAATTCGAGAAACAATGGCACTTGTAAAAATCCGACAAGAGGAAAGGGTTAAATCGAGGGAAGAAAATATCTCGGGAAACCACGATCACGATCGAAGCAAATAGTAATGGGTGAAAAGCGTGTTTGACGATGATAGGAAAGGGATAAGGAAAGAAAAATGAAAGCATTTGAGCGAATAGTAGTCAAGAGACGGAAGTAAAGTAAACTGGACGCTGGAGTACTCGAATCAGCAAAGGTTTGCCTGTATACCCCATAAGGGAGAGAAGGGGATGACTATTATTGGATTACGGTGGCTCTGGAACATTTCACCACGTAATCCTGCAGCAACCGTAAGGGTTACCGCATTACAAGGGCGTGCTGACCGCCCTTTACCCTTTCATTCACCCTCGAGGTACATCGCTACGGAGGTTTGCCGTTTTCAACCCCTGCCTACCGGCCCATTTGCAGCTCGGTACACGTTTACGAATTTCACCTAGCTTTTCCTTCCGCCGGAATATCATCCGCGTCTCCCTTTGAACCCTATTCATGGAGCATATTTAGAGACACACGTAATCCCCTGATCTGTTGGCAAATGGTCTCGGTTGTGTTTGTAAAATCGAGTTAATGGAGGCTTCCCGTTCCCGTCGAAATAATTAGGAATAAACGTTACTAATGAGATATTGCTTGATACGAGGGGGTAATTAGTGTTTGGAAGCTGACGGTGGTTAATACCCACGAGGATTCCAGTTAATCGAAAGGGGATTAATTAATCAGGTAATTGGTAGAAGGTGGAGCAAGTTTTTAGTCGTAACAGGAAAGAGGGTAATCAAAGTTTAAAACGTTTTTTATTGAAAAAATAAATTTGTCAGAAAATTGATAGAAGTTATCATTCAAAGAACCCATTTTAAAAGGGTTAAATCAGATTACAATGAAAAGATTTCCTATCCTTAATTATATATTTTCAATTTGCAAATCACGTAGAAAATATCTATGAAGATCTTGAAATAAAGTAATTGAATAAGAACCTGGAATACAACGTAGCAAAGTGATTCAGTGTTAGAAACAGATGTCTATCTATCCTGTCAGCCAAGAGAAGCCATTCGAGCGACGCTTTTTCCACCATCACGGTGGATCGTGTTCGTACATTAGAAGCAGCACGAAATGTCGTGTCTCGAGTAAGGCAGAAGAACATCGTAAAGCTTGTCGGTGTCGTTCTTCAATGTCCGATTGGTACGTCGCACGGGGTGGCGGCGGGGATGCGATCGGCTGTTTGGGAATACAAGAAATTACAAGATGCCTATCCGATGGTATAAGGCTAATGGTAGCGACTGAAAGGGCAATAAGAGTGGGCTAAGTGCTGGACTTGAATCAACGACCGAGGTACAGACACAGTCGGTGCCTGTGACAAGGTAACCGGGACATTCCTGCACGTACTTTGCTTGTCTCTTTCACCGAAATCACCGGTCCTCCCGATCGAATCCCTCCTCGAATAAATGTCCTCCGGACCTGATCTTCGGTCTGGGAATCTTCAGGACATCTGCTCTGGTTCTGTATTTTTCTTGATTGCTCAATCTCCGATTCTATTTCATCGCTGTGAGCAAAAATTTTCTTGTTAATTGTTATTTTTGGGTATTAATTGTTATTACCATCGAGCTACAGTGAGTGATCAAGTTATTAGAGTCACTCGCATAAATTGACGATTTTACATAAAAATGATTAATTCTTAAATGAAAACCTAGTTAAAACAGAGTTTAACTCTTTTATAGAGCTAATTAGAAATACAGGGGTTTATGGATTAAGGTTTTTCTTATGGTTTTTTTATATATTTTATGACTCTTACGATTATGTCCTATTTATTATCTTCGCTTTCCTTCAAAATTGATAATAATATTCATCGATAATTTTCTGGAATCAGCGTGTTAATCCGTCTTCATAATTTTTCTCCAACAAATCAAGATTAGACTTTGAACCTTCTTATCCTAATATCTGATCATCATAACACAAGTTCCTTTTCCAATTCTCATCGCAAAGTTTCATGGTTCATGATGTTTCCTGGTCGAGGGTGGGACGATCCACGTCTACTATTTATCAGTTAGGTTGCTGGTCATTTTTATCGTCGAGCCGCGTCGATAGCAGTCGCAGTATCTATCGAAGGATTTCACACGGAAGTCCGTGGAGCTTGACGAATGCGTTTTACATCTTCTCGTGCGATTACCTGGCACGTTGCGTGATCACGGCGCGCTTGCAAACGTCAGCGTGACAAATAGCGACCGAAAGCGGACGAACAAGACGACGTGATCCTTGGTAACCTCGCCAGAAAACATTCAAAGGATTCCTCGTGCAACGTCGTCGTGACGTTTCATCTCGCGTCGTTGACGCTCTTTTCCCTCGTTAAAAATAATTTCCTTGCCGAGGAAAATCGGAATGTCTGGGAAATATATCGTGCATCAGGCTCGAAACTTGAGAACCAGACGACAGGGTGAATAGTTGAGTTTTCGGTCGCGTGAACTTTGTCCCTGTTTCGTGTGCGGTAATTCGTGAGGTGTTTCGACCTTCGGGTAGATGGCCAGGTGTATACATCTGGACTGTGGTTAGGTAAGTTTGATGATTGCGATTTTATGTTCCCTTGAGACGAGTTTCATGTAGTTAATTTAGTATGGTGTTTGCATAAGTTTGGGGCAAGGATAAAAGATTATACAATTTTTGCTAATTTTTATATTATTATTTTTTTTTAATTGCATTGGGATGTAGCCATTTTTCCTGCGGAAGTTTAATTTAATCGCGAATGTACACCAATATAAAAATTAAGATAGAGTCTTTGATTGTTGCTGAGTTTGTTTTGTTCCTTTTTGATTATGAACAAATTACAAAAAATAATCATCTCTGAAAGAATCCTATCATTTACAAGAATTCTTCTCTCAAATACCCTAATACCAAAGAAAAGGATCCAAAAAACATTTCATCCTAGATGATTTTCACTTCATCATTCCTAATTATTCCCGCCATTCACGGTGATACTCAGACGGAAAGAGAATTATCGTGAGCGTTTCGTCCTTGCTGCGACACTATACGGGAAAAAGCAAGGGAGATCCACGGAGAAATCGTGTTCGACAATTGGCTTAATTTCGGCAAACTCGAAGGCTGAATCGAGCATTTTCCTCGCGCCGATTACTGGCCACGTCGCCGTCGAAATTCCTCCCGGCGATAATAACTCGAGTCCCACGGTGTGCCGGTGATTCCGTGGAAATGCAATTACGAGGCTCGCTTGAAACTCGTCTCCGTCGAAAGAAATTCGACGCGGGAAAATCTCTCTCGAGACGCGAGTAGAAATTACTCCGCTCCGTTGGATTGCCACGATATAAGTAAGAGAACATTTTTGGCCGGGCTCTGCGGCTTTCAGGCACAGACCAGCATCCGTCCGTTTCCGCAACTCGTACCAGTTTTATTCGACCGACCCTCGCCTATCGCGTTATATTCAGACACGAATTTTCCATGAAGTCTCTGTTTTCCTCGTTTACGATGCACCGTGCTTTCGATAACAGAAGCGGCATGCTAAAAAATACCGTCCTACATTTTTTTTCTACTTTTTCTAATTATGATAACAATGTAATTCAGAGGTGGACTGTTCCTGGATTTATTTTCATATTTAAAATTTAAAATTGCTCTTTAAATATCAGTAATTTGGTAAAAATTATAGGGAAAGG